TTTATCTACTGTATCTACGACTTCCAGATTATTTTTGCAAAATGGCGTTCCTATGGGAAGATGATTGAAATCCTGAAAATCAGTGGGCATATCTACACGAGACACTTTACTGTGAAGCTGCCTCATTCGCTCTGCAGTAAATGTCTCGGTGTTTACATGTGTGGCCGTATTAGGCTACAGTAAATAGAAGTACTATCCAGCTGCACTGTTTTTTTTACTTCGCAGCAACACATGACTAGCCCCACACTGAAGCTTCCTCATGCCCCAGCCAGACCCTCCACAGCACATGGAGCCAGGTCAGGGCATCCCTGGGCTGGCAGGCTGACCCCGGTATCCCCGGCCAGTGGAGGCTGCTTCAACCGAGCTCGGTGTGCTGCGGTCTTGGGCGCATGTTTAAACAGCACATCCAGGAGCAATAAACTCCAGTGCTTATCACACCAAGTTTACTGCTGCACCTTAATTGCATGTGTAGACGTGCCCAGGGATTACTATTTTGGAGGGGTGGCCTGGCAGAACTTTTGGCCTTTTGTAAAGAGCAGCAAAATAAGCAAAGATGCAGTTTAAGAGCAGAGAACTTCAGTGCAGACTTCTAGAAGTCTAATGCTCATTCTGTTTTGTGTGCACATAATGGGCACGTCCCGATGAGCACAGCTGTATGGTATATGGCATCACAGACCCATCTGAGCTGCCACCACACTGTACACTCAGGCATTCCCTATGCTACTACCTTGCAGTGTGGACAGGGGGGAGGGGGATTGACGCTGGAGATCCTGGGGTCAAAAATACCTGTGCCTTACAGAAGGGTGGCACATGTGGCACCAGAGCCTAACCTGCCACTGGAGTCATGCTCCAGGTGCTGGCCAGGCTCCCAGCTGCAGGAGTGCCATGCTGCAGCTCCCTGAGTTCTCCAGAACCCCAGGTAGGGCTGCTGGGGCCAGTACTACCCCACCCAGAGTAATCTACTGTGTGCCAGAGGGCGCGTGGCACGAGCGTTCCCTGGGGACAAGTAGCAGCAGCGCAAGGCGTGCCACTGCTGCTTGTCTCCAGGGAAGCAAACATTGGCTGTGTCCACATGAGCATGGATATGTTTTGATTATTTCAGTTTATGCTTCTTTCTAAACAGATCGTGCTTCAGGATTTAGATAAAAAGGAAGATGGGCTGCATGATATATTGACTGTTCTCACTATGAAAAGGTACCAAAAACATTTATCTCTTTTGATTTGCTATCTTTGACTTGTTATACTTGAGATGCATCTTCTCTCTGCTTGTGAAAAGTCACTGAAAATGGATGTATATAACTTCCTGTAATAGAAGTAGCATTGTTTCATTACTGAAAGTGTTGCCCTACAGTGGGGATGACTTTCTGGGATTTGCAGGAGGGGTTTTTCCCTGAAGATCAGGTTCCTTTATCACAAATATTAGTAAAATTCTGGCTAGAGAAATTACAAGTCAGTCAAATAATTCTGTTTTTAATGCCAAGTCAGAATTATGGCTCTTAATTTCAGTTACAAAGAGATCTTATCTTTTGCTTACCAGTGGGACACAGCAATTAAAGAATCGCAGTTTATGAATATTTTATTTGAACAAGAAAGAAAAGCAGTTTTTAAAAAGCCACTTTTCACTCCTTGATCATGTTGTTCCATGAGAGGAGGGAAGAGGGTGGGAGGGATGGATCTATTTATAGAGAGAGGGATGGATCTAGGGAGAGGGAAAGAGAGATGGATGGTGTCCCGCGCACTGAGAGAGGGGCTATACAGCGCCCTCCGGTTCGTTAGTGATCTGGATTTACAGGAGGAGGAAGGGTCAGAAACGTAACGGTTTTAAGCAAAAGAAAGTTTTATTTACTCACTCCCCTTGATGAGATGGCTAGAAGAGAGGGCAGACATGTGTCTTAAGTTGCGGTTCAGCTGGTTACAAACAGGTGCACGTCGCGAGATACGGTACAAGAATCGAAACGAGACGCTCCGGAGAACGTGGGGAATTACGCTGGAGGGGATCGTTCATCGGGAGACACTGGGGTGATCAGCCCCGGGGTGTAACATCAAGTCCAGCTCGAGTTACGGTGGAATGGCGGTCTCCCCGAACAAAGGACGGGGAGAGTTTTTATAACTTTCTTATCTGGTTTTACTCTGTCAGCCAATCATGACTACACACGGCTGCGGCTGCTTACGTTTCAACACAGGCTTTTCCCTCCTGTCAGCACAGCCGTCAGGACGGGGGGGGGG